TCATATAAGCTCTGTTTAGTGTTCTGACAAGAGGGGTCATGTTTAATAAGAGCATCTTTCCTGCTTTGCTTAAGGTCACAGTAATACCTACAGGTGTGCTGGACACAAGCGTGTTACACTTTTGTGAAACTTAACTCCTTTTGGAGTAATTGTGTTCTTAAGACCAAGCAGGTGAAAGGAAAAAGAAAAATATCTGGTGAGAATTAGAAATCTTGTGTGTCGTAAGTCAAACTCTGCACATAACAGCAGCTTTGCAGAGGTTGAAATTGGCATTTGGAGGAATTCGTGCTGTGTTTGTGATCAAGTGAGAGTAGTTGGGCAGCAGATGAAGCAGTACTGCTGTACTTAAACTGATCAAACTGACTACTCATGCTCACTGGGGAAAGAGCATTCTTTCAGTTCTAGAGGGACGTTCATCTATTTGTTTGGTTGGGTTTTTTTACCAAACTTTCTGAAAATGAGTCTTGAAATTGGGCAAGGAATTGTGTCTTTTGAGGCTATTAGAAATAGATTGCAAACTGTTACCATATGAAAGCTTGTGACTAACTGAAGGGAGGTTTAAGGTGGAAGCCCTAATAGGAGTGCGTAACAGAGGGTATCAACTGGTGCTCCGGTTACTTTCCTTGTGTTGCCTCTCCCATCAGTCATTCAGCCTGCTCAGCCTGTTGCCTTTTGTTCCTTTGATTCCATGCCACGAGATGGGACATGACAAGCTTGTGGTCTCAGAGCAGGTTGTGATGGAAGAGCAGGATGTGTTGTCATGGCAGCAGTAGTAAGTAGTGTTCATCTTGTCTGATGGCTTTTTATAAGTTTTATTTAGCTTAATTTTCAAGCTGCCAGTTTGCTAACTAAAGCCTTTTTCCAATTTGTACCTGTCACTTTAGGCTGAAATTGATAAAAAAAGACAATAATACAACATTGGCAGAGAACTAGTTAAGTGGTGTTTTCTCTGAATTGTTGAGTCTGTCTCTTAATTTATATAAAACTGTCTTAGCTATGTCCAGCTCCTGGCTTTCACTAAGCCTTAGTTGTCAGTTGTTTCTGTGAGATGACTGGAGTAATCAAGAGCCTGTCAGTCAATCTGAATTTTTGCCCTTTTTTTGGTTTGGCTGGCAACTGTTTCACCCTTAAATTTCAGATGTTCTCTTGTTGCTGCCTTTTTGTAATGGGATTACTACTTACTTTCTCTCCTGGACAATGCTTTTTGAGGTACTACAACCTGCCTGAGAATTCTGAATTGTGTAAAGAAGCTAAAATGAGGGCACCGCTTGTGCCTTTTACCTGTGTGAAACAGCCCAGCTGATAAGAGACCCTGTCCATGAGTGTGCTGTTGAACCTCACAGGTGAATCTCATCAGAACAAGCTTGCATGCTGGCCCTTTAAATGGGACTCCTCTGTGGTTTCTCTGGTTTTGGATGTTTTCTGTAGGAATCTACCATTTGTTTGTCTTTTGGGTTCTTTGATTGCAGGTCCTTTCTTAGGAACTCTTCCTTAGACTTTGTAAATTAAAGTTGCAATGGAAATATGCAAGAGTAGTGTCTTTAAATTCATCCTAAATAACAACACATAAGTTGCTTCAGTTTAAACTGAATCGTATGTGCTTCATCTGTCACAAATGGGTTTGCATGTGTTTTGTTTTATTTTTTTTAATGAAAGATGACCCCGACACTGTGGGAGTTCTCATAACTACAACTGCTTTATCAGATTGGGTAATTGATAATTTTAAAGACTTTCTGGCACTTTGTCAATTCAACATCTTAGGTTTGCAGATAGTGGTGGGGAAGGTGTTCCCATAATTGTTTCTCTGAAAGGTGGATGGTATGGTGGGATAAAATCACAGTAGCCTTTACAGCCTCACAGTGCTTTTTGAGGACTGAACAGAAGAGGCAATTCACCAAAATAGTAAGGTATTTATTTCTGGCATTTCCAAAGATACTCTTATCAATGACTCCATGTCCAGCAATACCTTGAAGAAGTATGTGTGTAGTCCTGAAAATTACAACACCAAACAGTTCGAAAAGGAATCTTGATTTTCAGGTATAGTCTGATGGTTTTTCCTTGAGAGACAAGAGGTACATGTAAACCAAGTGCTTAGGTGGTTTCAGCACTGTTTTTAATAGTTCAGCTATTGTAGCAAGCGTGGGTAGAGCCCCTCTCAAATCTTCATTCGCGAAGCCTAGCCATGTAGTAGTTCAGCTATAAAAACTAAAGGCTAATAAAATCTGTTGATTCACTCTTTAGTTGAAAGCACCCTTTCCTAATTCTTGTCTAACTCAATTTTCCTTTTCCAGTCAAACAAACAGTATGACTGTGGGAACTTCAAGGGTTTAGTTCTTGTTCTTTATGTCCCAGGCCTGTTAGCTTTACTCGGGGAACAGATATGCTTTGTTTGCTGTTGCACCCATTTAAGCTGTCAGTTTCTATTTAGAGACTTACAGGTGAAGTTCCTTGACTGCTTTATAACAGGAACAAACAAATAAAAAGTTTTCATGGTAGAAGCTGCAGTGATTTACAGTAGCAGTGGCCTTGCTGGTGGTTCAGTTAAGAAAAATATGTTTTCCGGTAGCAGTTTTGTCATGATAAATAATTTTAATAATACTAGTTTTGATTCACATGCTTCCGTTTCTGTAGTGAAATTTCTGATGTGCAGTGATCTCTATATAATGTACCAGAAAGCTTTGACTCATCTGCAATAGCGGACTAAAATTGTATTGCTGAGTGGGGTGTCAGTCTGTGGGCCCCTCCATGCAGCTTTTGGGACTCAGCTGCTTGTGGAGCAGCTGCTGAACTGCTGTTTAGCCCCATGTATTAAAGAAAAACAACTTTGAGCAGAGACCAGCGTGCTAACTTGTAATGGTCCAGCATCTCTGCTGAAGCAGCTGAGGGCTCTGTACAGTGGGAATGGGGGACCGCTTAAAGAGATTGAAAAGTAACCAGGCTGGACTTACTAGTTTGGAGCCCCTGATCTGTGTTACCTCACGGGATTAACCGAGGAGTGAACTGCTGCAGTCTCTACTAGACGTGAGTGTCTGTGTTTGTATCCGTGGTGTCTTCCCCAGATGCTTCTTCCATCTGCTCGTTTGTGTTTTATACAAGAATACTTCTTTAGGCTGATGTAAAGATTTTGTTAAACTGTTGTCAGAATTCTCAAGCCTTGGTAAAAGGGGCATTTTTTTTTGTTTTGGCTCTGCATTAGTCAGCTTCTAGAAAACTTCTGTCCTTCAAAGTGTGTTGAAGGACTCAGTGCCTCACTGAGGAGACAGTGTAAATTCCTGCAGAAAGGCCAGCCTGCAGCTTGACTGAACGCTGGATGTCAAGTTGCAACGTTTACCTCAACTGGATAAGCTGATGTGGATGCAAAGCTGCTAGATCTGGCTTAGAGATCTTGCCGTATGGACTGTGGGGGAAAAGCATGCTAATTCCAAGTTACATGTCTGCATAGCTGTAACTGGTGCACTGCTCTGGTAAAAAGGGGCCTTAATTCGTTGAAATGGAGGTCCTGTTCAGGGACTGCAGCTCTGGGGTAAAACATTCCAATTTGAGAGGTCTTTGTGCATGAGTTGTTGCCTTTGATGGAGGGCGCTGACTTTTGAGAACCATTTCTGTCACTGCTGCAGCAGCATTTTGCTGTGCTGTGTTACATGGCCATCTGGAGGAGAACTGACAGCTTCTTTTTTGCACCCCTTGGTTTATGTCTTCCAGAACTGACACGGTGCCTTTAGTTATGTTTTTGAGAGTGTTTTGTGCACTAATACAATCTATAAGCTGTGACATTTAATTCAACTGTTTCATAAACAGAGTTCATACATACCTAAGTTGGTTGGTATAGATGATTACCAAAAGACACAATAACTCTTGAAGTGACACTCTTTTAAAATCTGCAGTGATACTACTTTTAGCCCTGAGGTTTATAAGAAATGCAGTCCAGCCTTTGAGATACAACCTAGTATAAAAATGAACACTTGTGTTTTAGTTCAAACTGTCCATCTTGATTTTTTCCCCCCATCCTCTAAAGCAGAAGGCAGTGGTCTCCAAAGTAGAGTGTGCAAAATATTTAATTGGGGTGCAGGAAGAAAATATATCTTGTACTGTTAATAAATATAATGGGAATTTAAAACCAGCTTTTATTTTATCTTTATCTCAGCCTTTTAAAGTTTCTATTTTTGTGCATGTTTATAATCTATGCAACAGTACAGCACTGCATGTATGTGACTTTATAATTTTTTTTGCTGATAGCATGTGCAATTAAAAGTTTAGAGACTGCTGTACTAAGGCATTTGGGGCAATAGGGAACAGATTTGGGCAGTGGAACCCTTTCCAGGTTTCATTGTAGACAAGAGGCTAAAGGTGTTGGGGCCTGGCATAGTGATGCCAAATTTTGAAGTGTATTAGTTTAATAATGCTGACTTTGTGGTGGTGTCTTCCCTGGTCATAACAGAGGGTATGTGCATAGGCCAAGACCTTCCTGAGGCATTATGCCCCAGCTGAGGCCTCGAGTCATCCATCAGTTGGAAGTTGTCAGACTCTGTAAAAGAGTAAGAACGTATTTTGGGTTGAGAGAAGGTTGTTCTGCTTGAGCACTGGAACTGTCCTTCAGGGTTTATTAATGTGAGGTTTTCTTCTAGATGAAGAGCTATATCAAGAGATAGTATGTAAGATGCTTGCTTTAGTTACATTTAGATTATATATTTTTTAAAAATTCATAATAAGCTTTTCTTGAAAAAGAATGGCAAGCCTATTGTAAAACTTCTTAATGAGATAGAGTGGCAGCCAGACAGGTAATTGTAATACAACACAGCTCATCTCTGCCATGAGTGTAAGTGAATTGTCCAGCTGTTGTTGGAGCAGGTGAGTATAGTTCCACTTCACAGTGAACTGAACTAAAAAGTGTAAGAAGGACATGAATAATGTAGTTTGGTACCTGTGCAATGGAACAGTTAACAGTTTTGAACATTGTCGTGTTTTGCCAGGCAAATGAACAGAAATATGTTCTCTTACAGGTTTTGGAAGGAAGGATGTTGTAGAGCACTTGCTACAGACAGGAGCCAATGTTCATGCCCGTGATGATGGAGGGCTGATCCCCCTTCACAACGCCTGCTCCTTTGGTCACGCTGAAGTGGTCAGTCTGTTACTGTGTCAAGGGGCCGACCCAAATGCCAGAGACAATTGGAACTACACTCCTTTGCATGAAGCTGCTATCAAGGGCAAGATAGATGTGTGCATTGGTAAGCATCTGCCACTGGTTATGTTGCAATTTTACCAGATATGTTTGTGCAGTTGTAATTGTTTATGTGCTGAACTTGAGACGAAGAATATTGCTTGTTCTTAAAAGCTAGCTTCTTTTAAAGTAGCAGGTGGGTATAGTGGTAGTAATTTAAGACTTACTTTTTCGTGGTATATAATACAAGTTTTGCAGAACTTGCTTCTGAAAAATAATCCTAGAGTGGTTGGGTGAAGTCTCCTTGCCTGTTAAGTAACAATATTTAAAATCTGAATATATAAGTTTGTCTTTCCTGGTTGCTTTCAAGAAAACTAGTTTTACTAGATAAAGTCTTTGCTTTTCGAGCTGCTTTATATGTTGTATTAGTGGTTAGGAGGATGGTTAATCTTTCATTCTGTGCGGTGGGGAGAAACAACCTAGTCCTTTGGAGCTTTCCAATGCAAGTTATAGGACACCGTTGTTCACGGTGGTGATCTGTCTTCAGTATGTGTTTTGTAGCCTGGAGCCAAAGCAATTTCAAATGAAATTGAACACTTCAATCATTTTAAATGTGTTGAGAACATATAAAGAGCTTTTCAGTCAGGTTGTCTATAACTTTTGTGGGGTTTTGAGTGTAATTAGTATTACTTAGTTTCTAAATGGGAACTTCTGGTTTTTTTCTTTTTTTTTACACTCACATCAGTTTCTTGAAATTACATATCAATTCTGGCTCTTCTCACACCTTGCAGCTTGAGTAAAATGATCTACTCAGCATTGTGGTTTTTATCAAAAGTGTAAGGGAAAGCCTGACTTTGAGGAACTTCAGTTAAGAATATGAACTATATGTTCTAAATATTATCCTGATAACAAGTCACAATTTTCAGAATTTCAAATTTTTTTTTGCTGAAAGTTTTATTACGTTCCTGCAGAGAAAGCTGCAAAACTTACAGACAAAAAATCTGGTGTTATCTTTATTGCAATACTTAAGTCATTACTTAAACATCAAAAATTGAGGGAAAGTAAGTTGGAGGTCACACAAATATAATTTTTCAGTCTGTTTCTTCTTTTTTACAAGGGATATGATGGAACCCATTTTATCTCTGTGTGCAAGGTAAAACATTTGGAGAATATTCTGTAGAAATTGAGTGTAGTTGATTATTTGGCAGTACTATGGAAGGAGATCCACTGATATAGTGTAGATTCCAGTAACAGTCTACTGTGATAATGCTGAATGAAAAAGTGAGCTTAATTCCATTCAGTAACTGGAGTTTTGTATGAAACTTAAAGGAAGTGGTTACTTTGGTCTGTTCAGTGCTGGAGTCTGCCTGGGTTTGGGAACTGCTGTCTGAAAATACAAATTAAATGGGGGAAAGGTTGACAGCAAGAGGCTGATTAGAAAAGTGACCTTAAAGAAATACTGGCTTTGTTTGCTTTGGAAAAGATTTGTCTTTTTCAGTTTTTAGAACCTTATATTAAAGCAGGAGAGGGTGCAGCAGTACACGTGTTTATAGGTGATAGGATGGAAGATGGTTTCAACAGAAGATTTTAGAATTTGGTGGGGGGAGCAGCATGGATACTGCTGCTTTGGGTGGTCTGTCTAAAGACTCTTATATTCTCTGGAGGAGTTTGGGCAGGTCAGATCGAGGGACAGATTATGTGGTACATCAATTTTGATGTACAATACTGGCAGCAATTTGAGATTTTTTAGGTCTGATTTCTGTAATCAAAGAACTGATGGTACCTTTAAAGTTCGTTGTGATTCAACATTGGTTGGTTTGGTGAAAGGAAGTACAGGATTAAATTTATGGTTTGTATGGCACAGAACTTCATTCTGTATTCTGTGCACAGATTAGATCTGTGGCTCTAAATGTCGATGCTAGACTTGGGGGATGATCCATGTATATGTAAAAGTTCAGCATGTGGCACTTGCTGATCAAATCCCAAAGCTCTTCAGCTGTCTGCTGCAGTTCTAGGGTTCCTTGGAAGCACTGAGCAGGGCTGCAGCACTAGATGCAGTTCTCCAATCTGCTTGCAAGTAGCTTTGTAAGAATTTCTGGTATCTTACAAAATTTTATTTTAAACAAGCAAGCATGATGCTGTTGTGCTCGGTTTAGTTACAGTTATCCATGTATGTTACATTTCAGTCAGATATTTTATTTGTCAAGGTGCGAGCTCTTGCTGAAGGCAGTGTCACCATCACCAGATTTAATATGTACCGTAGTGTGATGCTACTTTGGGATTTAGTTGATTCCATAAAACTAATGGGAAATGAGTATAGACTAAGAAGTCTGTACTTTCATATTTGCAGTGAGTTTGTTTGCAGTTTATATCTAGTGGGCAAGCATGTCTTTGGCAAAGTTCCTGTTTCTTTCCAACAATTTTATATAAAACTTTTGTATTAAAGTCTTCGGCTTTAATCTCAGTCTTTTGAAGGAATACATTATACACAGGAATAATGGAACAGTGATTGTTTAGGGCATGAATTCTGACTAGGAATACTTGAGTATTCCTAGTATGAGGAATATGAGCTTTTTGGAATACATTATATAGTGCTGCTATTTACACCTTAAGTGTAGACTGTTGCAGCAGATATGATAGAAAAAAACTAAAATTTAAAAAAAATAAAAGAACATGTCCTTAGAGTGTTCCTTTTTAAACAAGCAAGGCATGCTTTTTAAAAAGCACTGATTGAAGAACAGTGTCTGTAAATCCTGGCATAACCTAGAATTTATTGCTGAATTTGGTTATCTGTCTGAAAAGCGATAGACTATGTAGAAATTAGTCATCTAGCCTCATTTTTGGGTACCTATTCTTGGCATCTTCTTCCAAATGATATAATGGGTGAGAATTTTCCACTTTATCTTCTCTTCTTTCCTGCTACTCCAGGCTGCATATTTTCTTTAACATTTCTAGCATAGAACACTTTTTTGGCCACTTTACAGGCCAAAAAGGGAAAAAGTGATAATTAACCAGAGGTGCAGCACATTCATGATTAATGATTTCTAAGAGGAAAACTCAAGGCATTGAAGCAGATTGGGAAGATCAGCAAAATAGTGATTATGCTACAGCAGTAGAATGCTTGTGTCTAACATTAACCTTGGAATGGAGAGTGTATATTTGTGCTAAAGGTACTGTGAGTGCTCAGCTGTACAGCCGAGTTGAGAGTAGTAGCCACAAACCCTGCCCCTGGGAAGCTTATGTAGAAATAAGGACTGTACATAAACTGATGAAAACCCATCAGACAGTGCACAAACTTCCACCCAGGAAACTGGTAGATAGCAAATGGCTGATAGGAGTTCTTTTTCTTCTGTTTTACTGATTGCATATCATAGTCATAGGAGAGCGTAGGGAGAGAATGCAGGTGTGCTGAGCTTGGGAGGAACATGGGTTGTGGCTCTTTTGGGTGACAGATGCGGTTGTGTTTTGGGTCTGCAAGAGTAGATCTTGATAAGCAGCTGGCTTGCTGGCCATCTCTTACAATATATTCAGTCAGTGCAGATTTGTTTAGTTGCTAAGTAATTAAATCCATTTGATAGCATTGTTTGCTTTATGTAATCAGTTTTGGGACTAAATTTATTGAAGCATTGAAACCAATTGTTACTGTCCTGCAGTATTTATGACTTCTAGGATTGCTTTATCTGTCAGGAAGATGCATTTTCAGTGCCTGTGAATTGCTTTTAGAGCTAATGAAAAGTGGTTTTGTTTCTCAGTGTTGTATTTGCTCATGGAATAATGAATGAGTAGTGAACTCTGCAAAGTGTGTTTGGGGGAATGCTTTGATGTTGGGTTAGTGACTGTTCTGCATGTTGGGCTGGGGAGAAAGAATTACCTATTTCTTTAGTCTGATTGCAGTATAGACTTTCAGATGAAGATCCAGGTAGCTTACTTTTTTCCAAAAATAACACGTAGCCCATGATGCTCAGAGACTATGAATGCCTTGAATGTATCCTTCTTTTCTCATAGCAGTCAGCAGTTTAGGAACTTGGTAGAGACTGCATCCAGACTGTGTTGCATAGCAGCTTGTATAAAAAGTAGTTGAAAGCTCCAATTCACTTAAATGGTGCTGTACTTCTGACTTTGAAGGTGCTCCGTGGCAAGAGAATTTTACAGTTTAATAGTCTTGCTGAAAGAAAACAGTCCTCTTTTTGAAAACATTGTTCAGGATTTTTTGATTACTTTTATTGCAAGTGATTCAGGACTTAGATGAGAATTAGTGAATGGTCATTTCTGTTCAGTCTGCACATTTTCTGTGATTTTATAGACCTTTTTTTTTTCTCCCTCTTAAATGTCTCTTTTCCAAGCTGAAAAACATAATCTTCTGTTATGTTATCCTGCTGAATATTCCAGTATCTCTGCCCCCTGCCTCCACTTCCCCCCCCATTTTTTTAATACTGAGTGGTTAGTATGGTGGGTACAGACACCAAAACTGGGTGAAGGAGATTTATAGGGTAGCCTAATGTTCTTTCTGGTTAGGTTTTTCTGGTTGCTGAGCAGTGCACAGGAGTAGCTTCAAGGTATTTCCTGAGTACTAACAGCTCCTTTTGAACTGTTTGTACAGCACAGGGTTTTTTGGTGTTTTTTGTTTTGTTTGGTTGGTTTGGTTTTTTTTGTTAAAAAAATTGGCTAAAATTAACCTTTCAGAAGTTGTGCTTATGCAGTTTGTCTGGGTTTGCTTTGCCCTTCAGTGTGTTTGTTTCTGCAGAGGCTGTAGTTGTTCTCGCAGAGATTTATTTTTTTTCAGGTGAATCTCCAGTTCAGTATTGTGATATGTCTAGGGCTGCTAGGCTAAATATTATCTCAGTTGTCATACACTTGCTTAGTTTTTAAGGGCTTCCTTTAAGATATGCAAACCATGAACATCTTCTGTGATGATGCCGCGATTTATGGATCAGGAACGTATAAGGTACTGTAGTAATTTTAGGGAAATAAAAAGTTTTATCTGCTGAAAATCTCCATCACTGTACAAAACCGTGAAAGTTTTTTAAAAATCACTTTTAGTTCATGCAGTGCTAAGGATTCATCAGGAATTACTTAAAATGACTTTAGACCAGTGTTTTTAGTTACTTCCTCTGGGCTACTTATAAAATCTACTGCAAAGATCCCGTGGCACGATGAATTTATTGTCCCAGTGCTGTGAAGGGACCTAATGGTATTGTCAAGGTGCAGTTTGTCTCTTTTTGACCAGAGGACTTGAAAGATACAGCAAGCAAGCGAGCTAAAACTTTTTTAAGCTAACAGGTTTTCCAGTGTATAGGTCCTGTCCTTAATATAGAGATCACTATTATTTAAATACCTCTTTGTAGTCGTGTCAAGACATTCCCCACCCTGCTGTGTTCCCTCACAACTGGGGAATGAGAAGAATCCCTTAGTTATTACCTTCTGCTATTATGCATCTTTAGGCTGAAAGATATGGAGGGAATATCATGTGACCCCTCCTGCAGGGCACATAAACGTTCTGTTAGGATTAAAAAAAAAAAACACCTATGGAAGGTAGTTTATGAGTAGAACTAGTGCACAGCAAATCTTAGAACAATTGTAGAAATGGTAATGTGCCCAATCATTGAACTACTTGTCTGTTTGGTCCTCTCGCAGAGAAGGCATTTTCAGCAAATTGTGACATTATTGTGGTTTATGATATTTTTGTTTTTTGCTCATAGTGTTTTGCCTTCGAAGCAGAGGATCTGTATTGCTCTAAAATTTAAAGTAATATCTGATTTTACTACCTGAAAAATAATAAAAGTAAAAAAAAAAAATCAAAAATAAATCACAGGAAGTGCTATCAAAGAGCAGAATTGTGTTCTGTTCTTTGAAAGCCTGTTCTTTTCGGAGGGGATGATGGGGTGACGGGGAGAAGCTTTAGTACCTTAACTGAAAAATAATTACACTGACTATAGATTTAGCTGCTGGATCGACAGAAGCCTGTAAGAAGACTAGTAACCTCTTAATAAGAATTAGAGGGGATATTGGTAATTGAGGTCCATTGGGATCTGTTTATACGTGTTGTTTGTTGGAGAGATGTACTGAATTCCTAAAGACTCTCTTGGAGAACTGATGTTCCAGAAGGAAGCTTAGATTCAAAGAGACATCCCAGGTATCTGATATTCAGAGGCTTGTAAAATAATTGGAAAATACTCTTTAAGTAAGTACTTTCAAATACTTTGTGTAAAATGTTTTAACTGTTGTTACTGTTTATATCAGAAGGTTTTTAATATTGTTAATATTCTTGATTTGACTTTTGAACTACAGAGTTGGAGCACTACTGCTATTGACAGCTCATAATGTATAGTGAGGAGACAGTGACTTGTACTTGAGCTTTTATAAGCTGCAGGACAATCTGAAGAACTTTAGACTGTTTTTGTCTACCAGAAATGTTAGTATTAAGAGGACATGAATTAGTCCCTACAGTGTGGAACTTTGCTGTCTGTTGGTTGCAGTTAATAATTGACATAAGAGAAAAGGTACCTTGTGATTTGATATGCTTAAGGCCAAGCAGTCCTTGTTAAAATTATATACTATCTGTCCAGATGTGCAAAATAAAAATCCTGGCTATATTTATTTTATTCTTCAGCTACTCATTGTTCAAAGCCAAATCTGTTGTTGTGGAAGCAGGCTCATCAGACTGTTCAGGTTATGAATTCTTTTGGTCTCTTTTTTTCTCTGTGAGTGATGTCATTTGTGTGGAACCCCATTTAAGTAGCAAATGGTTTTAAATCCTGTGCATGCACAGTGGCTCAAACACCTAATATGCCTTTCTTCTCATGCTGTTTCTTCATGGGGTCTTTCTCAAAGAAACCTTGCATGATAGGAAATACAGGATGAAAATTTGATGGTTTAGGTTTAGTGGAAGAATACTTTTGCTTTCTCAGTTAAGTTCTTGTTTATGGTTTTAAATAGTTTCATGTCCTCTAACCACTTGTTCAAGCTATGTTAGCTTCTAAATGTTAATATTCACCCTAGAAATGAGAGCTTCTAGGGCTGAATCTTACAGTTCTTGCTCTGTAGTTTGGGCTTCCCCTTTTGAAAGAGACCTGAGAATAAGGCTGCCTTCTCTATGAGCTAGTGGGGGTGGAGGAACCCACGGCTGAAATCATACATTGGTAATTGGGAGGCATTGTAATACTGTTGTCATAGTAACAATGGACTGGAGCGTGAGACAACAGGGCTTTTGTCAAAAGCGACTAAAGAAAATGGTTTGGGATGCACTACCATGGCATATACAACTGCAGTGCTCCCTGGTGGAGTTTGGTGGAAGGACACGAGGGAAATGGATGAATTTCTGTATGTGAAGGATACCTCTTCAGTATGAGACATCTGTGTGCAGACAGGTCCTTTGGTGTAGTGCAGTCTATGGGAGTTACTGTGTGCTGGTGTTTTGCATCTGTGCACATGTAGCTTTGAGAGATGCCTTTTGGAGAAATCTGTCTGAGCAGTGTCAGTCACCAATGTGTACCCAACAAAGAAACGTCTTGGAGCGCAAGGAACCTTGAAATGAGTGGATCATTGAAGTAAAGTGGAAGGACCCTACCACAAATTATCTTTTTTTTAAGAAATTCAGTCACTGAGCTGGATCAATCCTCGGGTTAAATCCTATTCAGAAATGAAATCAACAGTAAACTTTTTAGAACAGTATGATGCTTTGTACAAATTGGGTGAAAAGAAGCCTTATTTTAGTTAAGGAAGTCTTGTTTGCAGGGTTATGCCAAAAAAAGTCTTATCTTTGTATCTGGAGCTAATGGTGCTGAAGGCTTGTAAAGCTTGTCATGTTACTGTATTGCTTACAGTCCTTAAGGACTATAGTATTTGGATTGCTAAAACTTGACTGAAGTTCAGCCTCATGAAAACATTATATAATTTGAAAGCTGTCTGTCTTTCTGTTAGGTTTGAATTGTACTGACAGTTAATATATTACAGCCTATCAGTAGGTTTTAGACCTTTTCCCCAGTCCTATTTATTTTTCAAAATGTAGGTATCAAGAAAACTACTTTTTCCTTGTTTGCTTGCTTGGCAGAGGAGAATCTGTGGAGGAGAAGAAAAGAGTTTATGATGTTTCTTTACAATGTTTATTAAATCAGAATCTGATTTCTTACAGTGAAGGTGGTGGTATGATAATATACAAAACACTATTTGAAAACTTGCTATAGGGTACTTATGAGAAGTTGAGGTCTTCAGAAGTACTGATGTTAGCTATTAGCAAATTGAGAGGGAGGGGAAGAGGAAGTTGCATGTTATTCAGAACAGAGTAACAGAACAGATAGTGGTCTTGCAGACATAGAAACTGCTTTCAGATGTCCAATACTAGTTTAGAGCAGCTTTCTAAATATCTTACAGAAATATTTAATCTTATGGGACTATGCTTCTGATTACTGTAGCAATATCTGCTTTTAGCTTCTCAGCGGAACCGTGTGGTCTTAATGCAATTCATATGTGGTTTATAAACAATCTCTAGATATATGTATAGATGTTAAGGCATAAATGAGTGGGGCAAATTCCAGGAGAATTCTTGGATGTCTTCTTAGACTAATGGAAAATATTGATTAAAGTATTACTACAGGATATAAAGATCTTGCTTACAGAAAGGTGTAGGCAATTAAATCTTTGTCATATAGTGAACAAAGGAAGGTGTCTTCTTTTTAATGATGTGGTCTTTCTGCAATGTAAAGCAAGTGTGCAAAATGAACTGTTAGTGCTTGAAGCCTACAGAAAATACTGAGCACTCGCCTCTTGTTCCAGGTAGTCTTCACTTCAGCCTTTACAAATGCACCGTGTTGCTTTGATGAAGGTATTTCTTTCTAGGAAGGGCTTAAGTATCTGATGTGAATTGTGCTATTTGTGCCACTGTGTGTAGTTTTCATGCTTTGCTGATGTCTTGTCCAAGCAAGCAGTGCTGAGCAGTTCCTTGGTTAGGCACTGTGCTCTTGACCTAGCTATGGTTTTGGGTACAGAACTTATATGATGAGGGAACTGGCTGCAACAATTTGTTTTAATTTCTTTGTTTGTGGGGGTAATACAAAAATGGCCCAGAACACAGGTGACCCAGAGAAAGAACTCACTCAGACTGATGTAACATGCACCACTGCCTAGCGTGAGACCTACAACACTGACGATATCTCACCTGACAGATTGACATTTTTGCAGTGTAGAATATTTGCTTGTCAAGGACCTAGTGCTAAATTTGTGAAGACTTGCACTGCTCTGTATCAGTAGGACACGGTGGTGAGCAGTTCTAGTTCTGGAGAAAAAAAATGGATATGGCTCTGGGCTTTAAAAATTGACAGCAATGTTACTTTTACATAATAATGTGACCTAAGTTGCTGGGGAAGTTTACAAGATGATTATATGTAGTACTGCTAGCTAGTCAGTCGTTAATAGTTCTGTGTCTGTTTGAACTTAGTGTATTCTTAGCTTCCTTATTTTATGTCATAAACAGAATTTTTGAGAATACTTCTGTCTTTTGACTGACTCATAGCTTAAGCCACAATTTTTTTAACTGATCAGCTTAGTATTCAGTTTTAGTCCAGAATAAACCCACAACATCCTAAGATTTCATGTATTACTTGTGTTTGTTAAGTATTACAAAATTGATGCAAGGTTAAAGTTTTATGCAAAATATACAAAAGTTTCTTGGCATGTTGGGACTTCATTAATCTAAAGAGTTTGAGCTCTTAATGACATCAAAATGTCACTCTGTGTGTTCCACAGGGTGTGTGACTAAGCCATGATATGTGAGTTGTGTGCTGTTGAAAGCTGATAGGTGCTGAAATTCACCTCTGGAAAAGGCTGTACTTGTAGAATGTGATAGTTGTTTTGGGGTTTGGTGGTGGTTTTTTTTCCCTGT